TCCTTTAAGAACAGAAAATCATGTCACTTTATTCATTTACTTCATTTATTTACCTATTGGAATGTGTAGCCATTGAAAGTTTAGGGTATGCAAGGCATTGGGTGGGGCAGGGAACAAAAAGCTAATTCAGCCACTACCAGTAGAGGTCGATACAGACTTACAGTCTCCCACCACGGTCCTCGCATCCTTCAAGTTTTTCTAACTAATCAAGTTTAACAAACTTAGACACAAAAAAATACAGTGAACAATGATCATATAATCAGACATAGAAATGGTAGGTCATCAGTAAGCCAGTCACAACATTTTCTTTTCTCTGAGCCACATAGTTTTTAAGCCATTTCAGCTACTCTTTGAAGCTCCCTCCATTTATCAAAGAAAGGAAAATATTCTCCACAGACTTCTAGTTTCCACTGGTCACTGGAATTCATAAGCAAAAAATACGTTTTATACTTTTGCATCTTTTTAATAGCATATGCAAGGCCATAGATGAGAGAGGAAAGGCAGAGATAATAATGACAGTATACAATAGAGAAAAAGATAAATATAATTCAGGCGTTCATGAAGCTATCTCTCAGAAACACTATACCTTAATTTCACCTCAAGGAACCCAAGTCGTCCTTTTGAGATGAGAATAGAAATGCCAAATGTCTTAACTTTTTTCTTAGCCATTCCCTGAAAGCTTTATTTGAGGCAGCCAGAGTCAGGGATTTCTAGAGGGGAAAACAGGCCTTGAAAGGAGGCCCTGAGCAAGCAGTGCTGGGAAAGGAAAGGGAAAAAGATGATGGCATCACAAAACTGCGGTACTAAGGTCAGATCAGTTGATTTGGAAAAAAAATAGCCAGTTGGAAAAGAAGGATCTTGTAAAGTATCCTAGACAAATGTTTAATTTGGTGCTGTGACTTAATTGATCTTTTTTACTGAGACACTGAATCTAACCAATTAAATTCAACCACATTTTCTCTTTCCATCGCTCTTCTCATTTCATCATTTTGCTATGATAACAAATGATTTCTGGACTGCCAGTCATATATATGGTCATCCCTGAACGTCTCCGGACTTCATTTGTAGATATTTGCAAAGCTCTTGCTGTCTTACATAATTGACTACTTAAATACACAGATGAAAGAACATACTTTTCTCTCTGTGCTAACATATAACTATTTTCATCTTTCAAGGAGACAGGGCCTAGAGTCTTAACACAACCGTCAAAACCTGAACTGGCCTGAAGGTAAATGGGTACATGCCCAGAACTAAGGAAGAGTTTCACAGCTACCCTCAGAAGCAGAATGTGTGGTTCACCACCTCAAAAAACGTGTGATCTGTTTAGAAAAATGATATAAATACTAATTAAAAATGTAAAATGTTTTTATTCTAACATACTTTTTGTACACACAGAATAAAACCCCACAACAGTCTGAGTAACAAAGTAGATTGTGAAATACAGAGAATTACAATAAAAGAACATAGGAAAGATCATTTAAAGTTTGCTTTGAAGTGTCTAATTCTTCTAAATCAGGTGACATAATTCTCATAAATTCACCAAATTTTTATTTGTGCCATAGAAAAATATTAAAATTAAAAGTGACAGTCAACTTTTATTTGCAATTTAAAATTAGAAGTAGAAAAAGAGTAGTATGTCTCTAGGAACCAGTTCCATGGGATACGCTTCAAAGGGCCCACAAAAATCCTGAACTTACATGCAAACGGTTGTTTATATGAGTCTGAGTATTTCTGGGGTGAGTCCATACCTTTCATTTTGTTCTCAAAGGGTTCTTGGCCCCTGAAAAATGTTAAAGACCAATGAAGACTCCTGTTTAGGACATTTTATGGACATCCTCACTTATGCTGAAGAAATTTATCCCGATTGCATTCCAAATAATTCCCTTGTTTACTTTCTCAAAAATGTCCTCTGAATCATTTCCTCAAGCTTTCACCATTCATACATCCTGAGGAAAGAAGTAACACAGTAAAATTTCATTTGAGGAAATTGTAAAGCAGAGTTCCGTGGCTACCTCAGCCTATTCAAATTCTGCAGGCATCAGAAGTTTATATACATGTTTTAAAAGTTCTAGTGGCAGAGATTAACTGGTGATTATTTTCAGAGTTTTCCCTTTTTATGGTTTTATCTACTGCTCAGTCTTTAGAATTATTTTTGATTAGCTCTGTGTTTCTTTTCATCTCAGGTAGAAAAGCGAAGGAACTTCGCTGGAAGGATGCAATTCAATTTTGCTTACTTACATTTTGCCAACCTAGCAATTCTTTCACTTAGTGTTTTATTTATAATGTGGGTAACAACCCTATAGATGTTACTTGTTTTTAAATTGAGGTAAAGTTGATATGTAACGTTATATAGATTTCAGGTGTACATTATAATTCAAAATTTATATTCACTAAAAAGTAATCACCACCGTAAGTTTAGTTACCAGCCATCATCATACAATTGAGCTCCTTCCTCCATTTTTATTTCCCTCTTCCTCTAGGTGTGTGTGCAACATTGACTGTTCGCAAACCAACTTCAATCCCCTCTGTGCTTCTGATGGGAAATCTTATGATAATGCATGTCAAATCAAAGAAGCATCATGTCAGAAACAGGAGAAAATTGAAGTCATGTCATTGGGTCGATGTCAAGGTAATGTTCATTTCAATGAATGTTTTTAGTCTTTGTGCAGAAATGAAAAGTGAAGATAGCTCCTTATCAGGCAGCTATTTCATTTCCAAAAGACATTTATAATGATTTATAATGAATAGAGAAGTCTACTGCAGCATTTACGGCGATTATAGCAGTTTGAGGACCTACCAGCAATAGTCCCTCTGTTTTTCTATTCAGTGGGACTGTATGTACCTTCACAATGTGATAAACATGGAAGCCAATATTCAGAAGATAGGAGACATTCTCCTTGCAGAGGGAAAAAAGAAAGTCAAAATCATTTTTAGTGAAGAATATGAGGATTTTTCAGACATCCTTGGAATTAAAAGCAAATTACACCCTTTTTAAGTACTGAATAAATAGAAATATTTCAAGTACATTTTTAAAAACAGGATGTACTAGAATGTTCTCTTTTGTTTCTTCTTCAGAAACAAACATTTTCATGGTTTTTGACTTGTTATTCTTTTATCCAACTTATGTCGCTTATAATTGTGAAGCTTCCCTTTGCTCCAAACTTTAGAAAGCTAGTATCAGTCTATTATTCCCTCTCAAGCAGAAATTGACATTGTAAATCTGTCACTGTGTAGATTCCTTAGAACTATAGTTGTCAAAATTCCTTAATTTCAATGAGGATAATACTGTTGGAGGGATAATATAAGTTTGACATTCAATATTTAGGAAAGCTTATCAATGTTTATTGTTAATTTTCTTTAAACACAGATAACGCAACTACAACTATTAAATCCGAAGATGGGCATTATGCAAGAACAGATTATGCAGGTACATGGTATTTTCTACTACAAAACATGAGCATTTGTATAAAAGAGTCCTGGGAAATCATTGTTTACCACAGACCGTAAGTTAAATCTTGTAAGACATCTCTCTTCTACTAGTCTTCTCTTGTTTAGTTCCAACTTTCAATAGGCATAGTGAATTTTTGTTGAAGCAAATAAGACACTTTATTTTTTTTTTGCCAGAGTTAAAACACTTGTCAAAAATGTCAGTAAGATATAATTAACCTGTTTTGACAGTGCAAATGGTGGAAATGACAAAACATTTATCAAATTAATGGGCATCAGTGGAAATTAATGCAATTTTTGGCAGCATATTGTAATAAATGCAAATGTTCTTGTTTGAATTTTCATAAAAGTTAACAATAAGAAAGTTTGCTAGTCTCTAAAAAGGTAAAAAAGAAAGCTGTAAATAGTAATACAGGCTGTCTTTATTTAGATGCAAAATTCAAAAGCATGTATAAATTTTTTTAAATAGTAAGTTCCTTTAGTTTTAGACACTAAAATGTAGCTTCCAACATATGCAAAATTATAAAGCATTTTATGTAAAAATGTAAATCTTATTTAGCAATTATAATATATTATTTTGGGGAATATTTCTACCTTATATAATTTCCCTAGGGCAAGAAATAATTTCTGGGTATGCAAATAAGATTTTAACAGATTCTTAAATTTTATAAAATTTAGGATAAAAGATACTTAAAAACTGAGGTTGATAGTGATATGTAGGCTTTTTTTTTCATTTAGCTAATAAACATTTGTAAGTAGATTTATGGCTAAAAATCAACCAAATATACTACCTCTTACATTTCAAAATATGCACTACCATTTTCATTCCTTCTGAAATTTCATTTCCCTTAACAGTATTTCTGATGTTAGATTAAATGCAAAATAAATATCAATGAAATTGAAAAAAGTTAATCAGATGTTTTACTATAGATACCTCAAATCTCTCAGAATTTGGAAATAACAAAAGGTTTCTTTTTTTAATTTTCCATTTTTATCTTAATTGTTTTCAACATGTAAATAGAATATTTCATTTTCTAGAAGCCTTGAATTATCATGAACAATAATGATACATGGAAAAACATTACTTCTACTATTGTATAGCTGTTCCCAAACTGTCCAGGAGAGATATTAATAGATTTTCCTTGAAAAGAGCAGTCCATGGTCAATAAGTTTGGAAATAGTCCAGATAAACGAATGGCATTTTTTAGCCAAAACTCCTCAAAGCTCTTAGGTGAATTATAAAATTTTTAAGAGATTAACATGTTTTATTTTCACTTTTTTTACTTTTTGTTGTGAAGAATTTCTAATATATACAAAATACACAGATCTAGGCTTGATAGATTAATGCACCCACATGCACTCATCACTCACACGCAGTAACATCAACCCATGGCTAACCTAGCCCCATCCCCACCCCCACCATCTTTCTCACTTTGAAAATATGTGGAAATAAATCCCAGGAATTGCATTGTTTTATTCATAAATATTTTAGCCTGCATCTCTAAAAGGTCAACCTTTTTAATAAAATTGCAATGTCATTATCATACCTGAAATACTAATGAATAATTCCTTATAGTATGTAGCATTTATCAAATTTATTTGATGAATAACATACATTTTGTTGTAAGTTTTGTAGTACTAGTGTTCCCCAGAATGCACTTTGAAATATGCTGAGAGACAGGAAAATATAAGAAGTCATAAAAGATAATAATGAAAAATCAAGATCTGTTGCTAATAATATACATTTAAATTTTCAATGAAACCAACTTTTAATTCTATATTTTGTTATAAATAGTAACTGTATCTTCACAGTAATATAAGCTATTACCTGAACTATTCAGTTTTTCTGTAGCCTAAAATACCTGTGGAGATCTTGTAAGGATCTCACTTCCACACTTAAGAGCTTAAAATATCTTTATACCTGTTTTGCAAACTAATGCATTTAGAAAGAATCTTCAGAAATACAACATTCTGTGAATATCTTCTCCATTGAACCATCGATCATTGGACTCATAGGACAATCAGATCTCTCCCTGAAAATTTTACCCATCAAACAAAGAACTCTTCAAGCTGATTTGTGCCAACATGCAAATATATGTGAGATTATAAAATTGTATCAATAAAATATCATAATGGAGTTTACCCCTCTTTCAATGTTGTTCATATTGCATATTTACAGTTTGGCCATTTTCAAAGGGTTTGGGGTGTTGAATTTTTATTCCAAAAATAATTCATATTTGATCTCAAAAAGGGTAATCTCTGATCTTCAGTGTCAATGCTTTTAACAGATATTATTTCTTACCATTTTATTGAACATGGGAAAGAAACATAATCTATTTTTGAATACATGCAAACAAAAACCATCTAACACCAGCAGTGTTGCCCAAGGTCTTCTACTGTGACATCAAACTTATCTAGTAAATCCCAAAGAAAAACTTTTGAGGTAAAAGTGAAGTTTAAAAATACATTTGTTAAAATCCAAATTTTAGGCAGGAATTAAGATAATGACAATGGAAGGTTGCAATTCTTAATTAAACATTGATTGCATACTTTAAAATTCCCCTGGAATTTAATTTAAATGTCTTCATCTTCACTTATGATCTTATTAAAATACATTGTATACCCCTGTTTAGACAGTATTAAAATAATAGTCATTTCCCTCAACATTGTCAACCTTCTAGTAGCATTTACCTTTTCCTGAATTTTGAGACACAAACTTTGAAAAAGTGAAAGGAACTAAGTGAGACTCAATATGTCATTGTCCTTTTAATTTCTGTTTCACATGCTCAAAATTCCCCAAGGAGGGAAAACAGGAACTGTGTGACTCACATTCCTAAAAGTTTGCTGTGTGCTCACAGCTAATTTAATGTCACAGTCATTTCCCTTGTTAAACAAACATTCTTGGACTCTCCCACCAGAGGGAAGTACTGATCTTAACACACTCACATCTTTCTTATATGTCATTAATACTTGAGGTTAAAAACCTTTAGCAACACCCTCCTTTTTCCTTTGAGCCTAACTTTCTTTTTTCCTTTGTATAAAGCTATTAATACAAGAACATGTATTTCTGATTATAAAAAATGGGGGAAAAGAAAGGGAGCATTATGATCAGCATGTATAGTGTAGGGGGCACGGGGAGGGCTGTGCAACCAGAGAAGACAAGTGGTGATTCTACAGCATCTTACTATGCTGATGGACAGTGACTGTGAAGGGGTGTGTGTGTGGTGGGGGGGGGACTTGGTGAAGGGGTGAGCCTATTAAACATAATGTTCTTCATGTAATTGTAGATTAATGATACCAAAATTAAAAAAATGCAAATACAAATAAAAAGAAAAGAAAATGGAAATACACTTTAAAGAAAGCTTAAATCTAAAAATACAGGTGCTGTGTCTTGTTTTTAATACCATTTAACAGAGAGAGACTCCAGTAAGGACCAATAGGATCTGGTTTACAAAACAGTAATGCAAACCAAGAGAGCCACTCCTCGAACAAGCTTAATATGCAGTGACCTAGAGTGTGACTGAACTTGTGGAGAGCTGTGATCCTCCCACACATATACCTGAGGCGGACACGAGCGAACCAGAGAATTTGCAAGATCATCCCTGCCAGCATCACTTGGGTCTCTATTCTGCCCTCTCTCCTTTAATGAGACCCAAAGCATTAGTCCTGAATCAAGAGCTTTGCCTCTCTGGTTCAAGGCAGGTTGACAAGAGTCCCAGTGTGATTAGCTAAACAGGCCACTTCATGTGACTCATCCTTCATCAATCTGACGTGGGCTTAGATTTAGGTCATTCTCCTCACTTGTAGAAAGGTTCAGAGAACACAATTTCATAAAACCACAAAGCTAGGGATTTTAGGGATTTCCATAATTTCAAAATGCTAATATTAAACTTTCCTTCTGGAAGCTCTAAATAGCAAATGTGTTACACCTCTTGAAATTTGCCACATTTTCTTTAAAAGAAAAAAATTCCCCTCATGTCTTATAAAGAAAAAATGAAGTCCAACTATTTTGTTTTTCTTCTTTCTGGTGTGTGTATTTTCTGATTGTATTGCTTTTCTGTCTAAAAGTCTGGTCATGCTTCAGAAAAGGTAGCTATATAGTTTTTCAGTAAAAATGTACTTTTATAAGTTAGATGTAAAAATATACACAAAAACACAAAAAGCAAAACAATCATGAAATTATATTTTGTCTTTTATCATCTAGTAAATAAATTGGGTTTTTGTTTGTGACATGCTGTAGCAGTTTCCAAAAGAAACTGTAGTGGCTTATAATTAAAATAAACTCACTGAGATTGCTTAAAGAGAAACTGAAAACACAAAACACAAAGCATATCAGTTCAGGAAAATAAATATATCAACAACATAAACTATTACAGTTACGGCAATAAGCCCTAAGCTTCCTTGCAATGAATGTAAAAAGAGAAACTCTGAATGAAACAATTCATTCAACAAGTATTTAGAGTCCCTGACACACGCACTCCACTGTTCTGGGCTTTACAAAGGTAAATACATCAACCCAAGTTTCTGCTAAAATGGAACTTAGTTTTCATTGTCTGATAAAAATAAATAATCAGTTCAGAGACAAACATAAAGTGTTTCTAATGCTAAGTTATAAAGGAAATATATAGCATAAATCTTTTTATAAGGCATCGCTAAAATACATAGACTGCATAATATTTTCAACCATGATTTTTATAAAATATGCCAAGGCACTCTTTATAAGGCTGGGAATTTTTTAAATCAATTTTTGATAAGATTCTAGAGCATAACATTATATATGTATAACTCAACGGTAGTCTTTCTATGGCAGACTAAAGTAATGAGTTACATTTTGTTATTTTTGTATACTTCCAAATTGGAAAAGATAAGTAAATAACACAGAATACTGCAGGAAATAGCTGTGAGGGAGAGCCTGTTGAGTTTATCTTTTTCATATGCCTAGGTTCAACAGGAACTGGATTAAGAGAACAGTCAGAAAGC